TAATGTTTGAGATCTATTCATCTGTCTATCTGTCTATAAATCTATCAGTTCTTGTGAAGAGAAGCTGTTCTAATGAACAATTTTGAATAGGCACCAAAAGGAATGAAGATGATTCACAGTACTTGTGTATGCAGATTTCAATGGTGGATCCGTGGTTAAACTAAAGACTGATGTGGGGTTGGGACTAAGGATTGCAGGTTGTTAGAACACATTTATGAAAGTAACGAGGACCAGTAGAGATTGTCCTACCCGGTTATAGGTAGTCAACAACCACTTTGCTATGGGAAAGAATAAATCCTTTCCGGGACATAGCAAGGCTATGTGAACGCTTTTTCAAAACAGGTCAATGGAGGGCGACAAACCAATCTTTTCTAATTATACAGATCTGTTTCTAATAAGTTTGGAAATTTTTAACTTTTCATTCCTCGCTGAAGAAAATGTAGACGCTCCGTCTTTTTGATCCGTTTGTTTTTTTTGGAGATCGCTTCAGGTTTTCTCATATACCCTGTATTCCCTTAAATAAAGACCTCGGATTCGTCCCGGATATAAGACTCTCCGGATATAATTGAGATTTTCTGGTCCCAAATTAAAGCACGTTCAAACCGCAAAATAGACCAAACCCGGATATAAGAGAAACCCGGATTTAAGAGACTTCTTTCCGGTCCCGACAAGATCTTATATTGGTTTTGTTATATATACAATATATATATATATATACCATATTTTTACATGATTCCAATTTTTTTCAGGTTAACTTGAAATGCCAGACAGGTTATTTAAAAACCCGTGAAAGGTTTGTAAAAAAAAATTTTTTCTGGTATGTGATAGGATTTCTTTTTTTTTTCACCATCCGTTAGGACGAAAGATCCGAAATAAATAAATATGTCCCTTTTAGATCTTGTATGTTTTTTTTTTTTTTATTTATCCCCGCTAGGTTCTGCCAACCATTTAGGTCGGGATGAAAGAATGTCACGTGTGACTTTTTGTCTGTCCCTCAATCTGTCATATGGGGTCATATATTTTCTGGGACCCCTTCTGTTTTTATTAGGGACGTCGAGAAATTCCAGAAACAAATATGCCTGGTTGGGTGATCTGGCATCTCGTTTTTTTTTGTTTTCATTCAGACAAAACCTCATCGTTATCCCTCTGTTCTTTTTATGAATATCTTCATGGCATCCTTCCGACGAACCATTTTTCTAGTTGCTTCAAACTATTCCATGAATTTAAACGTGAAGATTGTCCGGCATTCCTGTCGTACAGAAATGGTAGATTTAGTAATGGCCTCTCGATTTATATTATCTGCAAATTGATACAAAATTTTCGTGAGGTAAGAATGTCGATCAAACCATTTTTATAACAAGATTTAATTTAATAATAGTGTCGTCATCTTTACTATTTTCACAACGTCCAAGTCCGTTTATGAACTAAAGTTTTTACTAATGAAATTGGAACTTTAACCTGAAAATTTAAAAGTTGAATAATTTAAATCCACGAAATATAAATATTAGATTTCTAGTTGCCGATGTCAAATGTTATATTGCTATTTGGAAATTTTTGATGTCTGTAGTGTGAGTTTAGAAAATTTCTTAATAAATTAATGTATTTAAAAAATTTACGTGCATCCGTGAAGAAAAATTAATCATCGGTGACTACGTAAATTGGTTAAAGTTTTAAGATTACGAAATTTTCGTAGGAAAAAAAGAACAGAAAGACCTCTGACCATTTACAAATGAAAACAATTTAATAAGAAGTTTGGAAAAAAAAATATGGGAAAACATCACTTGGTCAACTGTTGAAAAAAATCTTCCTGGGGTGGATTGAAAATTGTACTTGTAGAAAAAATTAATAAAAGTCCTCAACTCATCCATGCTTGAAAATATGATTGCCATATCTGGTCTGGTGTGTTTGATCCAATTTTTCATGATTTGGTCAAAATTCAACATATAGAATCCAGAGGTTGGGATGCTAAAATATTTCTGTCGATAACCGTTAAAGCGACAGGTTCGCAGTTATCGCAGCAAATAGCTTCATGTTCTTCCGTCTGTCATGTTTCTGCCGGACTTCCTCTTAGTTGCCCTTCCAGTGAAAACAAAGATGGCCGCAACTATTCAAATAAAACAACGGATACAGTCCAGATATTTTGATTCTTCATCCTTCATCTTCGACTATAAAGGGAAATAAGTCATTTTGACTGCTTGAGTTATATTTGTTATAACCAACAACGTGTTTTTGGTGGCATATATATTTAGAGATCATTGATAAAAAAAAAAGAAAAATCTGCAATTGCATTGTTCTTTTCTTTTCCGTTTTGTTGAGTTTATTTATTTTTTTTTAATATTCTTCAGTTGTGTCCTTTTCTATAAATACTTTCATGGTAAATTTTTTGATGATCTTTGAAATAATAGATTCATCTATTTTAGGCAATGTATTAGAAGTTTTCCTTGGATATTATTTTGTATTGAAATAAATTTGATAGATGTAACCGTAAGTTCTATTTTAAGGGATTTCTGAAATCGCACGTAATCACTTATGGAAAACAGTTTCCCTTCTTATGTTAAATTGAAAATTAAAAATTAAAATGCAATTCTGTAAATAATCTGCAATCTTCTTAATTCTTGTTGATTTTATTAAAAATTTAATAAAGATTTTAATTTTTGTCCTAACAACCCTTAAAAATATAAATTTAAAGTTTATTGTGTGTGTGTGTTTGTGTCCAAGTATTTCCTCTGCTCCCACTGGTCCGATTTCAATGATTCATGCTCATTCAAAAAGCCCTGAAAAGTTAGGCACAGGAACAATTTTCGTTGATCTCAGATTCATTTCCAGATTATTCAAGGTTAAAATATAATTAACATATAATAGAAAATTATCGTTGCTTTCTTGGTTCAGGAGAAATAACTTATTTTCGTTTTGTATCCAAAATTGCAGCACGTTTTATTATAAACTAACTTAAAAGCCCCTTTATCAGATGTCATTTTTGGTTCTTAATTTGTTCATTATCACAATAGCTAGGGAGGAAGTGATGTGATAGGCAGCAATAAACTACAGAAGAAGTAATTTAAGTATTGAATTAATGCTTAAGCTTACCTTTTAAAAATTCAACGATAATTCTTCTGCTGCCACTTAAATTAAAGACGAATGGTGCACGTAGATCCTTCCGTACAAACAATTATTTTTTATTTCGTGAGGCACAGAACAGGGGGACAATTTATAAGATAAAATTAATACAGTGTAAAAATGGGAAAATAGAAATTAGAATTAGTTATATATTCAACATTTGAAGAGTTAGAGAAACATAAAAGCTAATTAGATAAAACCTATATTATGGAATCTATATGAATAAATGCGAAATTGGAGCACAATTATCCAACGAATTCTGAGGTTAAAATGTCGCAACTGTACTTTATAGTAATTTATACGCGATATTTAACTTTAACCCCTTCCCCCCCACATTTTTAAGACGAGATGTGACACAAGGTCTTTTTGAAGGTGGGGACCTGAGCGCGTATGCCCGGGACAAGGAACAAAAAAAATTCCCCTCATAAAATGCAACCATCGGTTGCGCTGGCCTGTGCTGAAGCACCGATCCCTCCCGAGGGAGGGCGCGGCCTCAGCAGCTGTTCCCCAGGGATGGGCACCTCTCAGTATAATTTTCTCAGTTGCCCCTCTGTCATTTGACAGAGAAGCCTCTGAGCGCACTCTGCCCAAAGACAGAGACGCAGATCTGATGATAAGTCATGCTGACAAGGAGGAATTTATAACAGTATTAATCCTTCCCCCAACTTGACGAGAAAGGTCTTTTTAAGGTGGGGACCCATAGCGCGTACGCAAAAGGTCAACATTCTTAAGTATTATATAACTCTTTTTTTATATAGTTTTTTGTCTTTTGATAGAGCGCACTCTGCCCAAAGACAGAGACGCAACTGAGAGATGATAAGCCTCATCCTAGGAAGAATTTATACGCTGAGAACTCAATAGCTGTATTATATATTATCTACTTCTAGGTAATATCACTTTTCAGCTTTAACTAATTTGCATATTGATTTTAAAAAAAGCATATTTCATTAATTAACCGTCCTTAATTAGTGTTCTTTTATTCAAGGATTGTTTTGATTTTCATATCAAAAATAGTTCTGTTTAGGAATATTGTCTTATAGAGTGCATTTTACTTGGCCTTCAACAAGTTGGCAACTATTTGTAAAACTTTCCTTAATTATAACAAGACAATTTATAAATGAAGTGTTCATTTAAAATATTTGTTTAAAATATTTCAAGTCGTGAATATATCTTACTTTGCGAAGCAATGGCAAGCGGACGAGGTCTGCTTGTATAAACAATAAAATTCTTTCACTTAATAACCTGTTATTAAAGAATTTTCATGGAAGTGAAACGGAAATAAGCCTCCTTGTAATTTCACAGCTGAATCTAACTGCTCAGTTGGAGGTGTGTGTACCTTTGAAAATGTAGTATATGAAGCTACTATTTTCCCGAAGGAAAATATAACTCGGAAGAAAGTATTCATAGGAATATCCGTTCGGAGTTGGAAGCAAAGATTTTACAACCATCGGCATTCCTTCACCAATTCGTCTTGAAGATTTTAAATGGCACTATCTAAACATTACTGGAATCTTAAAGATGGAGGCTTTACCTCACAAATAAAATGGAAGATCATCTGTTACTCACAGACTCCTAACAACTTCAGCGACAGATGCAATTTAATGCTTATAGGAAAAATTATAACCGCATCATAGATTGAAAGGATTGTTTATTCATTATATATAATATATATATATATATATATATATATATATATATATATATATATATATATTTGTATGTGTGTGTGTGTGTATGCTTATGTGAAGGAGACTGGCAAGTGAGGAAATGTCTTGATGGTTCTTCTGAAATTAAAGGAGTAATCTATATTTTCTGCCGGTGGGAAACGTCCGGCCTAAGGTTCGTTTTCAAGGTTAAATATGATTTATCACTTTGAGTAATTCATGATGGCCGTTGTTGTACGGCTGTCCCGTGTGAAGCGTGCTCTTTTAGTAAACTCTGTCTTTCTTTCTCTTACTCTCTGTCTCTATCTATTTTCTCTCTTTCTCTCTCTTTCTCTTTCTTTCACTCTCTTTTCTTTATTTTTCTCTCTCATTTCACTCTTTTTGTCTCTTTTCTCGCTTTTCTTTCTCTCTTTTCCGTCTCTTTTCTCTTTTTATATTTTCCTATCTTTCACTCTTTTATCTCTCTCTCTCTCTTTTCATTCTCTTTCTCTTACCAATATCTATCTCTCTATCTGTCTCTCTTTTACACTCTCCCTTCGTTTTTTTCTTTTTCGCTCCCTTTCTGCCCCTCTTCTCTTTAAATCAACTCTCTCTCTCTCTCTCTCTCTATATATATATATATATATATATATATAAAACAATATATAAAATATTAAAATTTTGAACAATAATAAAAACACATATTGTAAAAATTAATTTTTTTCGTTTTTTATTATTATAATATTTATATATTTTTTTATATATATTATTTCATTTATATATATATATATATATATATAATTTCATTTTATATATATATATATATATATATATATATTTTATTTATATATATATATTTCATTTATATATATATATTTCATTTATATATATATATTTCATTTTATATATATTTTTATATATATATTTCATTTTTATATATATATTTATTATATAAATATATTTATATATATATATATATTTCATTTATATATATATATTTCACCACACTTAAGAAAGAAATATGGATAAATTATTTTTTTTTCTTAGAGCTGCAAACTATATGACAGACATTCCAGAAGTTTTGAGATTTTGTTTAGAAACCCGTTTTAGAATTTTAGTAATTTCAGTTAACGACGGAGTTAAATAAAATATAATGATATGCATGAGATTTACTTTCGGGTTTTCATATATAATCCAAGATATTTCATTAAAGATGCATGAAAAGCATATTACGGAGATTGTGGAATTATCGCCTCTTGTTTACAGCTATAGGCGGCGCGATTTTCCAACAGCTCGCTTTTCGACACCGACTATCAGTGTAACAATAGTCACTTTACATCTCACGGCACCACTTCAGCTACGAGACGAATTCCAGAATATTTGCGTCTTTTCTCTACTCGAGATAGATAGATATATATATAGATAGAAGTCTTAGGTTATTGTAACTTTAGTATATCATTACTATACATCAAAGAAGCTGACCTACCAACTTTTGTTATTCCAGATCGAAAAAGACGACAGTAACAGCTCATTGAACATACCCTACTAAACACCGTGTGTCACATTTGATTAGTTTTTGGAATGCAGTCAGGACGTGAAGACCATTTGGAAGCACGCTATGCAATAAATTTTTGTGTCGACACAGATGGTGATTTTCTAAGCGTAGCTTAGATGTGGCACAAGGCCGAAATTAATGAGCACCCAGTGAGGATCGATCTCACTATTCAGTTGTAATTGATCTAGCGAGACAAACTTGCTAAGGCGTATTCCAGAAGTTCTGAGACATTTTTAGGAGAGGCAGTTATAACTGGCCTAGCTTATTTAATTTAGTTTTTCATTACTATACATCTAAGAATCTGCTTTGCCAGCTTTTTTTTTATTCCAGCAATCGACCCCAAAAGACACCAGAGTCAAGAAGAGAAATCTGAAAACCATGGAACATCTGAGGAAAGAAGGCGTGGAAAATAATAACATGACATATTGAAGACATGAGTGCGTAGATGGAAACGTTGAATAATCTAACAAAAATAAATATGAAATGGACAAAGTCCGACATTTATTTTAAGACATTTTTATGTTTATACATTATTTTTATAGATACAAATATTTAAGTAAATGCTTTTTTAATAATACAGTATTAATAACATTTACCGGCTTGAATGTCCGAGAAATTTTCATAGAAAATATCCGTTCCTCCGACAGGAATCGAACCTGTATCCTATACGGAACCGTCATAGAGCCTGGCGTGCCTTAACCGATTGAGCCAGAAAGGATCGTTCGGTTAGCAAGGTCGATTTTACTGCTTTTTAAACTACAATCTTCCATGAATCTCTCACGTACATTCATATTTGCTCAAAGCGTATCCAAATGTAAACAAATGACGTCACACATTATGAAATGGACAAAGTCCGGCAATTATTTTAAGACATTTTTTGATTGTTAATTATTATTACAGGTTTTATATTATAGAATATATAAATGTAATATATAATAGATTATAGAAGATTTTAGTTTATAAAAACCATAAAAATCGAAATTTTTAAAAATCGAACGATTTCTAAACTGAATTATTAAATAAAAAATGTCTTGACATTAAATGACGGTGAATATAAAATACACATTCGATTCTTGTCGGAGGACGAATATTAAATATGAAAATTTTTGGACATTCATTAAAATTCAAACGTTGTTAATACTGTTTATTATAAACAGAATATTTAATTAAATATTTATAATATAAAAGAATCTATAAATATAAAATATTTCTTAAAAATAAATATATAGCAGAAGAGATTTTTTTTTTTTTTTTTTTTTTTCTTTCGAGCTGCAAAATATATGATGAAAAATTATAGAATGTTTTGGGGTCTTTTTTAGGAGAAAATTGTTTTATGATTATTATAATTTTATATATATCATTACTATACATCTTTATTTTTGATTTGCCATATGGAGTTATTCCAACCTGAAGGAGACGGCTCTAAAAAGTATAGCTGTACACTATCTAACATATTAGAAAACACTGCTTGTCACAGCCGACTAGTTTGCTAAATACAGTCGGTATGTGAAGACATTTTGGAAGCTTGCGTTGTAATAATTTCTTGTGTTGACAAAAGAAAACTATTTACATTATTCGGACTATTGTCCTCATCTTTGTCGTCATATTTATTACGTTTCGGCCGTTGTACGCTCTGGCCTTCTTCAGGTGGTTGAAATGTCGAACTGAATTTTTCATTTCGCTCACTGGGGTAGATGTTCTATTTGATTTCCAATACCATGTCTAATGGATGTCAGTTATCAGTTATTTCAAAGTTGAATATGAAATAACCAGGTATTGAACCAACACTCTTTGGGTCCTGTCACTGGATCTAACTAACGCTTCTTTGAGGACACATGGTACAGTGGATAAAGGGCACAAAGAGTGACAGTACCCAAAGAGTTCAAATTTCAGTTGGGATTGTTACGCATAAATAACCACGGGAAAGGCATGAAACTATCTCCTCCCCACGGGTTAAATAGTAGGGCTTGTATCTTGAAAAATCATTGTTATTTTCAAAACATTGGTAATACAATATCCACTCGCAGAAAGAATTATTCTTACAATCCAAAATATGTTTCGAGTTTAAATAGTCCAGAAGAGGTTGATAAGCCGTTAAAAACAAATCGATATCTCATTTTTTTCAATTGTTATTTTTTTCATTTTTGAAATTTTATTTTGGAAATTTCATTTTCTTTTTTTTTTCCACTTTCTTTCTAAAAAACTTTTGAGAAAATTTGCTTTCCTAGACTGAAAAAGTTCACTTCTCACAACTTTATCACAAACATGTTACGTTACCTTTTAAACCCAAATTGGTACGAATGGAGCAATTTTTGATGTTAGGGCAAAAATTCCCTATATAAATATATATATATATATATACATACACAGATACAGGCAGGCGGGCACACATACATCACTCTCGCTATCTGACAATCTGTGAAAATGAGTCATTATTATTCTAATTTTTTTTTTTTTGTTACTTCTACAACTTTTCGGCCGATCCATCCTTCGGCCTTCTCCATGTGTATAATCATTATGGAAAGAGTATCGGTAAATCTTTGTGGGTCTGTCTAATTGTCTTGTGAAAAAATTGATGGTAGACATTACTTTGCAACGTTTTTTTGAAAACAAATATAAACAAGAAGAAATTTTTAAAAATCAATTCTAAGGCCGGAATATCAGAATATTTATCTATATGTCGATTGTGATTATCCATATTTATCTGACTGTCAAGGTCTTAAATATCATTTTATATATCTTTATATCGAAGTATGAATGATGAAATTATCTATCTAGTTATCAATGGATATCTATTATTGGCATTAAATATGTTAAACGAGGTTGATATGCCGTAAAACACAAAAAACAAAAACCAGAAGAAAATAAAAGAAAAGGTTGGAGGAATTCTTGTGGAAGTAATAAAAATAATGGAAAAAAAAGTGAGATCAATTTAATCATTTTAATTTTTCTCTTACAATATTTTAATATCGATCTAAACTGCTGCACAATAACTAAATAAATAAGGTGAAGATACGAGCCTGAAAAATTTCTGCAATAAATGAAATGGAATAATTTGGAATGATTTCCGGACCTTAGGCAAACCTGATAAGGAATCAAGTAGGTCAAAACATGAGTTGAAGTCAGCTTTAGTCTGTCATAAAGAAAGAATTTGTGAGTAATAAGGAAATCTTTTCGAAAATAAAGAACAAAATCGAGACCCAGAAATGACAAGAAATTTCTCCTGATTTTCTCCAGAACATTTCTTTGTCAGTATTTTAAAACTTTAGTTTTATTTTAACCTTTAATTTCTTGTTAACTCGAGTATTTCTGTTTTTTGGGAATTAATGATATAGGTCTTGTTTTCTTTAATTTAAATAATCACGAATGAATTACTCGTGTGAATAAGGCAAGTACACATTCTAAGGGGGACTCATTTATACCCGTTGTCAGAGGGTAAATAAATGCATTCCAAAATTCACTGAAAGATTTTAATTAATTAAAGAATTTTAATTAAGTCAAACATTCTTCAAAGAAACTATAACTAGTCTTTTCCATGTTCTTTCGTCTTGGACGTCGTCTGCATATTTCTATTCAATGATAAGAATGTTTTTTGAGGTTTCTAGTATTTGCATCAATAACAAAGAAATGATATATATATATATATATATATATATATATATATATATATATATATATATGAGAGTGCGAGAAAGAATAAATTTGAGAGGATGAGATAATGATAGAGAAAGATTCAAATGAAAAGAGAGAGAGAGGAATTGAGAGAGAACAAAATTTTTGAATGAAATATATATATATATATATATATATATATATATATATATATAATAATTTTTACTCAAAAAAAATTTTCAAAAAGAGAGAAATGACAGAGCGAAAAAGAGTGAGAGAGAGGAATTAGAGAGAAATAAAATTTTATGAATGAAATTTAGAGGTTTGAGAGAGAGATAACTAGAGATTCATTTAGAATTTTATTGTGAAAGAAAAAAATTTTCATATGTGAGAGACAATTTTAACATGTTAAATAAAAAATGAACTATAACATTTGATGAACCCTTCGAACTGCAAATTTATTAATCTCACAGCATCATTTGTCTTTATTTCTAGGTGGATGGATGGGTAGTGTATCGGTTAACGGTGCGTAAAATGGTGTCAGCTGGTCGAGTTCAAATCCCGGAGTCGGATGTTGCCTAATTTTATTCTCTTGGTAAAAGCATGAATCACTTCTTCAAATCATGGGTAAAATAACAGGGTATACTAGAATCTCTAGCCTTGGATGGCAACCAATCTAGGAGAATAATAATAATTCTGAATTAAAAACTCTAGAGAAAGCAATGGGAAATTATTTCAAAGAATGGTGATTTAATTTTTTAATAATATTAAAGGAAAATAAATAATAAAGGAGAGCCATGATTTTTAAATCGGAAGGACATAGCAATTAAAAAAGAAAGACAGATAGTAACAGAATCTCATATATAGGTAGATTGGTTTGGTAGATGTAAACCATTGCTTAGTTATTAAAATTTAGGATCAAACATGGTACAGTCAATTACAATAATCCTCTAAAAGTGGAGGGAACGATTGCTGGAGAATCCGTCTTTAAATATCTAGAAATTTTTTTTTTTAAAATTATTTTGTATCTGGGTGGGAATTCACTTTTAAATTCAGTTAAATTGACATGCACACAATATATATATATCATATATAAAGATTAAAACTAAAATCATCAAATGTATGGCTAAAAGTATGCCGAAAGATTCGGA